CATTGTGAGAAAATTTAACTACCAGTCCTTCATCAGCTCACACAAAATAGGGTGGATACATCTCATATAACTGATTTACCGGTAGCTATTTTTTCTACACACATCAATAATGTTACTTATCATCGATATGAGTAGGTTTAGAGATTATCAGTATTCCTTAAATAAGAACCTAGTTGGTCTAGCATAGCTTTCGGTGATTTAAAGACTGATTTTCGACAAATAGTGGAGGGATAAATTCTCCACGATATTTCACATTCCAGTATCAAATCCGGTTGGGAGTGCTGAGAATGCGACCAGCCCAGCCTAGCCAGAATCGCATAAGCTTCTGAGAGACGGAGCCTGAATTGTGGAAAAGTTCCGCTGCCAGTCCTCGTATCATCCGAAACTAAATATGATGAATACATCTCATCAAAGTTTTTATTCATGAGATTTGGATAATTTATCGGATCTCCACCTACCTACTCGTGCTTGAACTAAGTAATATCGTTGGTTGCAATGGAAAAAATATGTTGGCCTAAGTGACAAGCCCACTAGAAAAAGGTGAGTTGTGACACGCCTGGTTTGCATCTGCCCTGTGACCCACTGGCATCTGGTATCGAATCCCGCTAGGCTTGCTGATTGGATTAAAACCATGTTGTAAGTGAAGTACATTTTGGGTGGGACAGGCTTCAAGGCGCCTTCATGTGGTTGTAGGAAAACTCAACTATCAGTCCTCGAAAACACCTTGAGCGACTCAAACGAGGCTGTGACGTAACGGCGACTTTGCACTGTCGAGATGCCACCAGTGGCCACTAGTTTTGTCCAATAGAACCAACACTTCCGATAGCAAAATGTCTCTTTCAAACCAACTCAACACTGGCTTGCAGCTCAACTGACAAAGTGTTGGCCTCCGTCGACTCACCGAACGGAGCGACGAGATGATCTTCTCACACTCGAGCTGCTTTGGGAGATGGAGTTTAGCTTGGCGCTCGAAACGGACGCTTTGGAGGGCCTATTCGAATGGATGGAAACAGTCGAGTTGGACAGTCGGGCAGCATGGCCTGGAGATGGGATTGCTCTGCCTGGCAGACCGTGTGGGTTATGGGGTCGTGGGTGATGTGTGATGTGTGAAATGCGAAGGAAACGAACGCGAGCGGAAGGAGAGAACGAAGAGATGGAAAAAACGGCATACATTCAAGCATGAGGTGGATTCTGTAAAATGTCTCGCTTCGCACAAACACTTGTCGCCGGCCGGCCCAGCGACGCCGGCCACCTGGAGACAGACCAGCAACGCCCAGTTGTCCAGGCAGAAACGGACTTTTGTAGTGAGCTCATCAGAAATTCACACTTTCGTGGACACCAGATGAGATGTCATCAAGTGACATTTCAAAGTGAACATTTGTTGAAATGGTCAGGACGTCTTGAATGCCAACATAATCAAGCCAATTAGCTCGGAGTGAGCTGATGATACCCCACGATGAAATGAGCAAGCGACAAATTGCTGGTAAACGTCATTTATGAGATGCATTCAGCCTATTTTGTGTAAGCCGATGAAGGATTGGTAGTCGAATTTTCCCACAATCACATGAGTCGAGCTGACGTTTCCATTCAATTTCACACAGCTTTGCTTTCCCAAAGAAGAGAGCACCATTTGGCAAAGCAAGACTATGTAGAATTGAATGTAAACATCAGCTCTACTCATGCCATTGCGGGAAAATTCGAGTACCCATCCTTCATCAGCTTAAACGAAATTGAGTGAATACATGTCATACTACTGATTTACTGGCAGTCTCGAAACTCTATTTACATACGAAAAATTGCATTTAGCCACGCCTCACAACAGGTCTTCCCATCCCGACGGGAGTCGAGGCCGGATCGTGCGTGCCGTGACGTCAGGCTACAACAGTTCAACGGCACAACTACACGAGTGTCACTGGGCCACAGGGCAGATGGGACCTACAGGGCGAGCCAGGCTTCTTCCAAATCACATTTATGGTGGTGCCGATTACGTTATTATCAGTTATTACCCCGTCTTTAATCGGCTTAATCGGCCTAATATAATTATATTGAATATATGAAGACCAAGATGTTGTGGCCTCTGGTGTGGTCGCAGTCTCCTTTCGATTGATA